AAATGAAATACTTATTTTCATACAAAAACCTGTAAGTAGATTTTTTTATAGCAGCTTTACTCACAATTGTCCCAAACTGGAAACAACCCAGATGTTTTTCAACTAATGAATGACTAAATAAACTGTGGTACATACATATAGTTGAATGTTACTCTGCAACAAAAATAAGCTTTTGACTCATGCAATAACATGAACAAATCTTAAATGCATCTTAACAATGAAATAAGCCAGGTTCAACTTCATTAATATGATATTAAAAAAAGAAAAATTATTAGGTATGGAAAACGTATTAGTGATTACCAGAGATTGGGAAGTAGGGGAAGAGGTCCACTCTAAAGAGAAATATGATGGAGTTTTGGAAGCAACGATACTGTTCTATATGCAGTTGTGAAGGTAACTAGCTGTAAGACTATAGATTTGTCAAAACCCATAGCACTGTATACCACAGAAGTTGAATTTTCCTATATGTAAATTAAATAAAATAAACCGGAATGTGGGTAGAATATAAGATAGAATATGGATGGGGCCAAGTGAATCTGACCATATTACAAATAAATCAAATAGCCACACTGAAGCTCGTGGTGAAAAAAGGGGCTGACCTAAGCAACTCTGGAAAACTATTTTGACTGGATACTAAAAGAACTGCACTCAAGCAATATGCTCTAGTTACAAATCCATTTCTCATAGCAATTTTAAAAATTTAAATTAAATGCATGTTACAGGTTATTATTGATGGCTTGATGTATTGATTAGAAATTTGCAAGACTACTTTATATGTATTTCAATTTGAACAAACTAGTAAATATATCCTAGATAATGAGAACCAGGTGTCTTACAGTTAGAGAAAGAAGTTAGTTAAAATTAAGGACAAAGATTAGAATAAACTCTATGGTGCTGGATTTGAATAGGAGTATCAATATGAACTCATGCTTTGTTTAATTATATAAACACATTTACATAGATATGTGTAAATATTATATATCTACACACACAGAGATACAGAAATCAACACAGATGTTTATGCATATTCTAGGGTTGTATATACACTATCTCCTGAGAGGAACTAGAAGTAGTGACACCCTAGCATTAAGATTTTTTGCTTCTAAATACCATTCTTTAATAAAAAGGAACCAAGGATTCTTGGAATATTATGCTCTGAGAAGGATACAACATCACTTCTGTGGTATCCTTTCACAAATGAATAACTTCAATCTAATCATGAAAAATCATGATGAATCAAAGTTGAGGGACAACTTACAAAATAACTGACCAGACCTCTTCAAAAATTCCAAGGGTATAAAAGACAAAAAATGACTGAAGAAGAGTACAAAACAAGTAAACACGATGTAGAATCCTGGATCATATCCCAGAATAATATTAGAACATTAGTGGACACATAGGAGAAACCCAAAAGTTTGTTTAGATTCTGTGTTTTGATAATTGTACCTTGATTATATTAAGATGCTAACATCGCTGGAAGCTGCAGAGAGGGTATACAGGAATCTTGTGCTGTTTATACAACTCTTCTGTTAATCTAAGATTGTCTCATAATAGAAAGTTTGTAAAAACTATCTTGGTTTGGATGAAAAATTATGTGGTTACCCTACCTACACAGGTAATAAAAGGTACTTTTGTTTCCCTGTGAATTCTCCCAGTGCTTATTTGTGCAAATACAAAATTCTTATCCTATTTGTTGTATAATATGTTGCTTTTTAAACTTAAATATGTCTTGTAGAACTTTCCATGCAAATACAGGGATTCTTCTCTTCCAACTTTTAATGATAAAAAAATCTTAGATATACAGAAAATCTTAAGAATGATATACTAAACATCTTCATACCATCAGCTATATTTCCTTATTTTCTTCTATATACATATGATATTCCATTGTGTGGAGTTAATATATTTCTCATCTACTAGTTACATACTGAAATTTCCCTCGTGCCCCACTGCTGTTGTCAGAGTGGAATAGATAACAGGAGGAAATGGAATCTTGTCATGTTGGTTTGATCCCAGCACTGTGATGGGGAGTAGATAACTAAGAAAATTCTCCAAATCCTTGTTTCTGGGTTTTTTTTTTTTTTTTTTTATTTTGTATTTTGTCTCCCTCCTCTTCCCCCCCCTCAGGGCTGAGGACCAGACTCAGGGCCTTGTACATGCTAGGCAAGTGCTCTGCCACTGAGCTAAATCCCCAACCCTCCAAATCCTAGAACCAATATTTTACCAAAAGATTTGAATCATCCACATAAGTAGAAACTAGTTGGTAAACTTTTTTTTTTTTTTTGCAATGCTGGGATTGAACCAGGGCTTGCCTCATGTTCCACTCCTGAGCTACATCTCCAGTCCTGAATTTGCCATTCTTATTCTCCCATTGAACCAATGAAATATGAAGACTTTGACTTTTTTTAATGCTTGCATTTCATTGTCCACAGACCACATTTACAACTCCAAGGGGAAGTGGATGCAGGTAACTTTGCTGCTATTTGTATCACTGCAATGTCAAATCAATGGCAGCTCTACAAGAAGGCAGATGTGTTTTTCTGCCCTACAAAAAGATTATGTAGGGAGTAGATAACTAAGAAAATTCTCCAAATCCTTGTTTCTGTTTTTTTTTTTGTTTGTTTTTTTTTTTTACAGTTCTGGGAATTAAACTCAGGGGTGCTTTCAGCCTTTTTAACTTTTAAAACAGGGTCTTGCTAAATTGTCCAGGTGGGCCTCCAACTTGGGATCCTCCTGCCCTCAGCCTCTCAAGTAGTTGGGATTATAGGTGTGCATCACCATATCCAACTAAGTTCCAGGCACTGTACTTGGTATTGAAAACAAAAATAACAAAATTTCTGTCCTAAAATAGTTTACAGTCTACTGAAGGAAATATAAGATATACTATTACAAAGTACTTAGGGAGGGAAGAGAATGACTTCACAGAAGAGACTGAGTTTCTCTTGAGTTCACGGACTAACACCAGGAAGGGCAAGGCTGGCAGAATGAACAGTTCCTGCAAGCTCAAAGACATGCTATGCTACCTAAGTAGGCTTGAGTTTAGGGTTCCCCTGGGAGTAGATATAGAGGAGGCTGGTGAATTAGTCCACAGCTATTAGCAGTTTGGTCTTCATCTTATTCAATAGAAAACTATTAGTTCAATGAGAGAAACTATTAAATGGTAAGTAAGGGCTAAGATAATCAGATTTATAATTTTTAAAAGACAATTCTAGTAGTTATACAAAGGATGCATTGGAAAGGGTGAAAGGAAAACCAGTTAGGAGGCAATTGTAGTAATTTAGTGAAAGAAGATGTGGTCCTTATGAAATCTCTAGGGTTTTTATGAGTGAAGTAATCTTTTAGGAAGGAGAACATGTTTGAAAACTATCAATTGAAATCAAGAGGGAAATGGTAGTATGTGTAGGGGGAGTCAATATGTCTGATCATTTAAAAGAAATAAAATCAGACTTTTGTGTGATGTATGGTACTTAGGATTAAACCTAGGGGTACTCTACCACTAAGTGAGTCACAGGAACGCTTAACTTTTTTTTTTTTTTTTAAAGTTTGAGACAGGGTCTCCCTAAATTGACCAGGCTAACCTCCAACTTGCAATCCTTTTGTTTCAATCTCCTGAGTAGCTGGGATTACAGGCGTATGCCACTGCAACCCACATAAAATCAGACTTTGTATATAATGAATTCTCAAGTATCCAGAGATGGATTCTCTGGTGAATGAATTAATTTATTGAAGACTTCAGATTCTTTTTTCAAACTTGTAATCATTTCACTTAAGATTTTATATGGTTTGCCAGATGGTGATAGGGAAAAAGAAATGAAAAACACGATATTTAATCATTCTGGCTGTCTGCTGCTTAATATGGAGATCTGAGGAGAAGGTGAAATCCTCATCACAAAGAAGCCTGAGTTTTATCTATGAAGTGCATACACGTGTCCCTCATCTCCTAGTTCCAAAGATATATCAGAGGTCATTGCAAGAGGAACTATATATTCTGAAAAAAAACCTGTTTTTGCATTGACGTTTTAAAATACATTTCTACTTTCCATATTGAAAGCTTTATTTGGTCCCTTCATCTGAATTACATATGCGGTGCTCATTTTTCTATCGCTGGATGGACTCAGTAAGATGATTATGTCTTAACAGCTGAGGCTCCTCGGTTAGTCCCTCCAGCTCATAGGGCTCCGCTCTAGGAAGAATCAGAATAGCCAGATCAATTCAGTCAGACACCTGCTAACTAAACGAGGACTCATTTCGGATCTGACTCAATTTATTAGAGGGTCCAAGGGATTTTCAGCTGTGTTCTCAGGGAGATGCGAGAAGACCTTATAATTGTCCTGACGGTGGTAACAAAGAGTTCTGTCCAGCGACCTAATGCAAAGCCGTGCTGACTTTTCATCATAAAAGGCTTTTCACTGAACGCAAATACATGCTTTTAAAGCAAAACTCAGAAACGTCTGCAGTCTTATCATTGCTTTCTCGTTTTAAACTACTTATGCGCGGATTTAGAAATACCTATTCACTTACCTGTCAAGGCAAGAAATAACTTGGGCCAAAGAAATGAAAAGACAAGAGAACAGACTCTATGTGGTTTACTCTCCATCTCACCATCACGAACGACGAAGAGGGAATTATTCTTTTCCTTTAACAAGAAATTTGGGGTTTTTTTTTAACCATTTTTTTTAAATGCTCGTAAACAAAAATCTATTATTTTTCTATCGTTCAGAATTTACTTGATAACTTTAGTCCTCCTACAACTAAAAGCATTTTCTAATCTCGGACTCGGGTGTGCTGCAGGGCGAGGGTTTGCCGAAATTAGTGTAACACAGCCAATTACCCCGGCAAAGTCCGCTGGGAGAGAGCGGAAACTACATATCCCGGCGAGCCCCGCTCGCGAACACAATGGAGCCTGTCGTCATCCGGGCTACGAGTCTGCACGTTTCCCCACGCGTCGCGGGATTCCGGCCTGCGTTCCGCCCCGGGAGGAGGGCCCTGCTGGGCCTTGAGAACTGCACTTCCCAGCATGCCCTGCTACACCTGCGCTTGAGTACCGGAGCTACCCCGCCAGCGAGCGGGTTGGTTTGAAGTGCAGTGTTAGTTCCATGGAAACCGGCCTGCTTGCAGCAGGACACCGCCATCAGCGGGCAGATGGACTCCGGGGTGAGGCTGCCGGGCCCCGGAGGGAGAAACCGACGGCTCGGACAAGGCCACCATCACCTTTCCCTGACGCCCTTTTCCCCACAGGCGGAGTCCCGCCCCGCTCCCCGGATTTCAGGCATTTCTGCATTCGATGCCTGTGAACGTCCTTTAAGAGCTAAATTTGCATTGCCCTGACTCCAGCGGAGGGAAGAGGCTAGCCACCAAAGCCCCTAGCTAAACCCAGTTCCATCTTTTTTTATGAGTTGGGTTGGAGGTTATAGGTTCCTGGGAAGGCCATTTCGATGTTAATGTTTGTTGTTGTTGTTTTCCCCCACTGGTTATTCTCCCCGGCCTACTTACTAGACTATAGGTAGGTGTCAGGCCTGGGGCGCTGGTGCATGCCTGTAATGCCAGCGACTCAGAAGGTGGGAGGATTCCAAGTTTGAGGGCAACCTCCACAACTTAACGAAAACTTGTCTCAAAAAATATTTAAGGGCTGAGGGTGTATCTCAGTGGCAGAGTGCTTCCCTGGCATGCTGGAGGCCCTGGGTTCAATTCCTAGTCATGCAAAAAGAATATCCTGCTAGGATATAGTAGACATTCGTTATGTTTGTATTGAATTGCCCTCCTGTTTGCCACCCATAATATTCCAGGACTGTGTTAGACTCTAAAGACAGAAAAATGATAAAGAATCTAACCTGGCTTTGGAGATGTTCACATTAATCTGTTTTGGACATGTACATCATGTACCTGGTTTTATCTCTGAGTGCTCAGGTCCTTTAATACTTTGTTTCTTATCCAGTCTTATGATTTTATGCACCATGCAGAATTAACTTAAAAATTTATGTCTTCAGGCCATACCTCCCCCCTGAACTCCAGATCCAGACATTCAATCATGCACTGGGCATCTTACCTGTTTTTAATTTAAAAAATTCCAAGCCAACTCTCTGTCTTCCCCCAAAATGGCTTTTTTCTTTCTTTCTTTCTTTTTCTTTTTTTTGGTACAGGGGATTGAACCCAGGGGTGTTTTACTACTGAGCCATATCCCAGCAATTTTTGAGACAGGGCCTTGCTAAGTTGCTTAGGATCTACTAAGTAAACCCTCAAACTTGGAATCTTCCTGCCTCAACCTCCCAAGTCACTGAAATCACAGGTGTGCCCCACCAAACTTGATCAAAATTAGTTTTTTTTAATTTTTTTTTTTTAGTTAGATGAGCACAATACCTTTATTTATTTTTATGTGGTGCTGAAGATTGAATCCAGTGCCTCACACACCCTAGGCAAGTGCTCTACCACTGAGCCACAATACCAACCCCCAAATGGATTCTTAATAGGTTTCTGTTGTCTCAATGGTAATACCATCCTTCCTGTTACTCAGGCCAAAAACCTATAGCATCTCCTATTTTTTTGCCCTTGCCATCTACTACGCTTAGTGGGTGGAAGAGCCAGGGGGATTGAGTTAAAAGGTAAATTAGGTCACAACAATCCTTAGCTCTAAATCATCTCAGGGTTCTGAGTTGCTGAGCGAAAGCCAAACCTTTACAAGGGTGTTCAAGGCCCTGTGTGATTTCCTATTATTATCCCTTTGACCTCATCTCTCACTATTCTCTCCTTCATTCATTTGTCTGTGATCAAAACTATCTCCTTACCATTTATGGATTCATCAGATATTCTAATACAGTGTTTTCGTACTTAGTATTTGCTCTTTATGGACTTTCTGTCCTCAAGATATTCATATAGCTCATGCCTGACCTTCTTTACAGGTGTTTGCTCAGATATCTCAGTGAGGGACTTTCTTTGACCACTCTTTAAAATTGAAATCTGGACTGCAGCCTCTATCCCGTTCTCTTTATTTTTCTCTATAGTATTTTATCACCTACAAACAACTATTTTACTTCGAGTCTATCTTGTCCAATTAGAATATAAACTCCACAAGGGCAGAGTTCTGTCTGTTTTGTTCATTTGCTGAATTCCCCAGTACCTATAACAGTGTCTGGTTCATGTTAAACATTCAGGAAATAGTTGATAGAAGTATGAGTGAATGAAGATAATATCATTGAACTATTTTCTAGTGGTTGTGATAAACAATATTGAGTACTTATTGTTATTTTGGAACCAACAGCACATGGTTATAGCAGTTGCTAGGTGTAGGTTTTGTATGCACAGAAACAAGTGTTTTCTTTTCAAAGTCATCTGGCTTTTACTAATGTATTTCTTTTTTTTTGGGGGGGGAGTCAGAATGAGTTGTTTATTTTTTTTTAAATTTTTATTGTTGGTTGTTCAAAACATTACATAGTTCTTGATATATCATATTTCACACTTTGATTCAAGTGGGTTATGAACTCCCATTTTTACCCCATATACAGATTGCAGAATCACATCAGTTACACGTCCATTGATTTACATATTGCCATACTAGTGTCTGTTGTATTCTGCTGCCTTTCCTATCCTCTACTATCCCCCCTCCCCTCCCCTCCCCTCCCCTCTTCTCTCTCTACCCCCTCTACTGTCATTCATTTCTCCCCCTTGTATTATTTTTCCCTTTCCCCTCACTTCCTCTTGTGTGTACTTTTGTATAACCCCAAGGGTCTCCTTCCATTTCCATGCAATTTCCCTTCTCTCTCCCTTTCCCTCCCACCTCTCATCCCTGTTTAATGTTAATCTTCTTCTCCTGCTCTTCGTCCCTACTCTGTTCTTAGTTACTCTCCTTATATCAAAGAAGACATTTGGCATTTGTTTTTTAGGGATTGGCTAGCTTCACTTAGCATAATCTGCTCTAATGCCATCCATTTCCCTGCAAATTCCATGATTTTGTCATTTTTTTAATGCAGAGTAATACTCCATTGTGTATAAATGCCACATTTTTTTATCCATTCGTCTATTGAAGGGCATCTAGGTTGGTTCCACAGTCTTGCTATTGTGAATTGTGCTGCTATGAACATCGATGTAGCAGTGTCCCTGTAGCATGCTCTTTTTAGGTCTTTAGGGAATAGACCGAGAAGGGGAATAGCTGGGTCAAATGGTAGTTCCATTCCCAGCTTTCCAAGAAATCTCCATACTGCTTTCCAAATTGGCTGCACCAATTTGTAGTCCCACCAGCAATGTACAAGTGTACCCTTTTCCCCACATCCTCGCCAGCACTTGTTGTTGTTTGACTTCATAATGGCTGCCAATCTTATTGGAGTGAGATGGTATCTTAGGGTGGTTTTGATTTGCATTTCTCTGACTGCTAGAGATGGTGAGCATTTTTTCATGTACTTGTTGATTGATTGTATGTCCTCCTCTGAGAAGTGTCTGTTCAGGTCCTTGGCCCATTTGTTGATTGGGTTATTTGTTATCTTATTGTCTAATTTTTTGAGTTCTTTGTATACTCTGGATATTAGGGCTCTATCTGAAGTGTGAGGAGTAAAGATTTGTTCCCAGGATGTAGGCTCCCTATTTACCTCTCTTATTGTTTCTTTTGCTGAGAAAAAACTTTTTAGTTTGAGTAGGTCCCATTTGTTGATTCTAGTTATTAACTCTTGTGCTATGGGTGTCCTATTGAGGAATTTGGAGCCCAACCCCACAGTATGTAGATCGTAGCCAACTTTTTTTCTTCTATCAGACGGCATGTCTCTGATTTGATATCAAGCTCCTTGATCCATTTTGAGTTAACTTTTGTGCATGGCAAGAGAAAGGGATTCAGTTTCATTTTGTTGCATATGGATTTCCAGTTTTCCCAGCACCATTTGTTGAAGATGCTATCCTTCCTCCATTGCATGCTTTTAGCCCCTTTATCAAATGTAAGATAGTTGTAGTTTTGTGGATGGGTTTCTGTGTCCTCTATTCTGTACCACATTTGTCTTTCTCATGGCATGCTTTCCATGAAGTTAACTGCCTAGAAGCTCTTTGGAAATACTCTCCCTAAACATTGAAACAGAACTAGATTCATTTGATAATATTTATTCATGTGAATGAATTTTTTTAAATAAAAATTTGTATCTTTGTATTTTTATTGTTACTGCCAAGCATCAGGACTTAGGTTTAAGGCCACATTCAATATTTACTCCTTTTCAAAATTGGCAAAGCACAAATTTGTTAATTCTATTTTTTTGTTGCTGGAATATTAATAATTAAAATATTTATTGTAAGACTGTACTTCTTAGAGTCAGTTATAAGGATCTATTAAGTGGCCAATGGATTGTGTTTGTGTGGGGGGTGGCATTTTTGCCATGGTGCTCCTCCTTTAGACTTACCAGATAAGTAACTGCAGTGAAAATGCAAATCTCTGTGATTTTTAAATCTGACTCAACAGATCAGTGTATTGGATACCAAGTCCTTATTTTGCACTTCTTTTGACAGCTTCCCAGATACTCAGGGACTCTCCCTAATGACTTTTAAGGCTGTCCTTCTTTAGCTATCAGCAATCACTGTTCCCTGTCTTTCTTCCAAGGGCTCTCCTGAGCTTGCTTGACATTGTTTTTTGTTTGTTCTTGGTGGGGTGAGGCAAGTGGGATGAGAGAGAAAGGGTTTTCAACTAACTGTGAGCCCTGTTTTAATAAATCTCCCAAAAGCTAGATTGACTTGTTTACTTGAGTCAGCAGTTTCCTTACTACCTGAAGAAGATCCTCAATGACTAAGAGACTATTTCAAGGACAACCCCGTGTTATTTCATTTAAAAGCTTTGTCTCCTGCCTACCGCCAGTCAGTTTCCAGTCATCTTGATCTTGCCTTTCTTAGGCTGAATTCCGCCCCCCCCCCCCCCCCCCCGCCTTTTTTTATACTGGGAACTAAACCCAGTGGTACTTCACAACTGAGCTTTATCCCCAACCCTTTATTTTTTATTTTGAGACTGGATCTTGCTGAGTTGTTGAGGGTCTTGCTGAGTTACTGAGGCTGGCCTTGAACTTGTGATCCTCCTGCCTTAGCCTCCCCAGTTGCTGAAATTACAGGCCTGTAATTAAACCACCTTCCCCACAGAGGCTGGGGGTCAAGTTGGTTCTTCCTTTTTGTTCTAGAGTAGTTTTCTTCTCTGAAAGCCTGAGAAGCTCTAGTCTGGAACAGGGTTAGATGGGTGCCAAATTCCTACCCCAGCACGTAAACACTCTTTTTTAAGCAAATGAAACAACTGAATTTGAATTGTTTTCTGTTTTATTTTTAAGGCTGAATGTGTGTACACTCATTATAAATAAATGTAAGTATTTTATGCAGATCATAAGTACCTTTCTTAGGGAAATATCAACAAAACTAGACATTTCAACTATTACATTAAAAAATTTGAGGTGAAAATCTGCATCCTATATGGAGAAAATTTCTATTCCATTTCCTATATCTTTTTCTAAAGGTAGACTTCTGCTATATTTTTATTAGTATTATATGTTTGGCTTCTGAATATGGGCAGTTCTTTATATAAGAACCAGCTACCTGGGCCTAATAAGTTTCACAGAAATTGTCCTTTTTCACCCCACACTGTTTGTTCTTGACCTCTTCCTTTTATTTGTTTTCCCACCAACTGTTGCCTGAGACTACCATGTTTTAGAAGTGACTAAAACAAAAAATAATTTTATTTATCCTCACATGAGCAGAGTTTGGAGATTACTGATTTTGCCAAAAATATCAGGTTAAGCTGAGCCGCCCTGGCTTTTTCCTTGTTTTTCAGTTACTGGTGATCCCTGGCTCTTTGTTTATGTTTAAGTGTGAGGCACTGCATGAAGATCTGAAGGAGAGCTCTGGGCATCATAGGAGGAAAAGGAAGGGTCAGGTGCCATTGTTTCTGGCCTTTTTTTTTTTTTTTTTAACCAGAAAAACTAAAGAATCCCCAAAGCCCTTTTACAAACTTCTGTCTAAAGCCAGGCAGGATGTATCACATGAATGTGCCACCTTTAGGGGGTATGCTGAGCAGGTAAACTTTTCAACTGCCTTTGGAAAGAGGACAGAGGAGCCAACTGTGTCTCATAAGCCCCCTTAACCTGTTTTCCCTACTTTTTCTCCCCACCGTAAGTCTGGTTTATTTATAGGTCAGCAGTATTGGAACAGTAGGAGACAGAAAATAAAATGGAGAGAAACTCATTTGGTGTCTTTTCCTTGTTATCCCCCTGCCCCCACCTTTTCACCCTACCCAAACAATCAATGGCTTCAACTCCAGCACTGTTTTTGGCAGCAGAACCAGCCCTAGGGGTTTAAAAGCTTTTCTTTCTGCTATCTAGGTTATACTCCACTTATGTAGGATCATGACCCTGGTATATGGAACAGGCTCTATTTGGGATGTTGGAAAAGAGATGATGAACAACAGCTGGTTCTTAAAGCTTCTACCCACATTTAATCAAAGCAGAATACATGGCTACACCTGAGTTCAACAGGACAGTGATTAATATTCTGATAGGAGGGATGTATACAATTTTGAAAAATAATAGAATCTGCCACACTAACATTGTGACTTTAATCGTAGGAGCGTATGGAAACTACAATACGTAGGCCAATCCTCTCTCCAACCCACATCAACTCTACAGCTTCTGAAACATTCACAGTGCTTCAGCAAAGGATGAGAATAGTAGAAGAACAGACCAGTTCTCTGAGGGATGACTTAATTATGTTGAACTATGGTGAAAAAAGGTAATGAAAAAAAGTGAACTAGATCTGTTTTATGATGAATTTTGCTTCACTGCTTAGTAATAGGGAGTCACTGTGGTATAGTCAATGAAATAGATATTTATAAAAGAATTGAGAGATGACTATTTGAATATTAGAAAATATATGCAAGATAGAGTTGTTATTCTGTGATAGAGCCGTCACCATTCCTCTGTACTGTTATTTAAAATGTGTTAAGTATGAAAACTGATAATCCTTTCTCCTTCAATGTATGATTAAAAATAAAATGTAATTTTTCATGTAATTAAAAACATTTTTAGTTTTTATTTTAAAATCAGTTAAGAAAAAAATATAAAATGTTACTTTATGCCATTAATTTAGTCTTCATTTTTTTCAGGGGTTTTAAATATTTCATAATTTAGAATTAGGTACTCACAAAAGAACTGAATTGTTTTTCTCCTAGTACTGAAGAAGTTGTTGACTTTAAAGTTGAATTATCAACAGTCTAAGCAATCTGTGTCCTTACACAGACAGTATTGAATGTGTTGGTATGATTTCTTTAAAAAAAAAAAAACACCTGAGTGTCTCTCATTAAGATAAAATTAATATAGTTGGTATTACAATACCTATTGAATAAATAACTTCAGCATTAAAAGATAACAGCATTTGGTACAATGTCAAGTATGTTAGAAAATAGGAATGTTATTATGACTTTGTTTAAAATTTTTCTAAAAATGCGACTATGTTTATATTAACATATATATATATATGTCAATATAGAATATAAACTTTAATTCTTAGTTTACCATTATAGAATTATCTAATAAGTATCACTTGTTTTGATGTAACAAAAAAAGTTTATAAAAAGTCCAGATTAAAATAAACCAGCACTAAAAAGTGATCTTTATTCATCCCACATTATGTTCATCCTCATTAACCAATAGTTTTCTCTGTATTTGAGTTTGGAGAAGCTAATAAGAAAGAGCCTGTGGACCCATTTGGTTATAGGAGCCAGGTGTTATCCAAACACACTTCCTGCAGGGATCTTTTATTTGGTAGATTTAAAGCAAGCAGGCACTAGTTCCAGGAGGTCATCTTGTGACTGAGAAGTTTGTGGGCAGATACGTGAATGGTCTGTTTAAAGGAAGCATAAAGAAAGCAGGGAGCTCAGTCCATTAGGCAGAAGAGATACCTCTGCATTTTTATCTCTGGCCACCAGCTGGAGCCATTCAGGTGTGTTAGAATATTGGAAACTGTCAAGTGTGACTGGGCACTGCTTCTGGTATGAGAAAGTTAAGCTTAAAAGTAATGTTGAGGCAATATAAAATATAAGCATTCACAAAAATGGGGTATACTGTGATGTTATGATACATACATCCATTGTGGGATGATTAAATCAAGCTAATTAACATCTATCACCTCATCTACTTATTTCTTTGTGGTAAGAAAATTTAAAATATTATACATTTTGTTGGTTTATTTTTTTAAATATTTATTTTTTAGTTGTAGTTGGACACAATATCTTTATTTATTTATTTTTATGTGGTGCTGAGGATCGAACCCAGGGCCTCACACATGCTGGGCAAGCGCTCACCACTGAGCCACAACCCCAGCCCTCTTTTATCCGTTTTGATAAAGAAAAGACATAATTATTAACTATAGTCACCAATGCTGTACAATTGATTATTAGAACTTGTTCCTCTAATCCCTCAACAACAAAAAAAATAAAAGGAAAAAGAAAAACAATTACACCTAGGGGCTAGAAATTTAGTTCAGTGATAGAGCACTTGCCTAGCATGCATGAACTTTGGATTCAGTCCCAAGCATTGCAAAAACAACTTATTCCTCCCATCTGATTAAAACTTTATACCCTGTGATTAACATCTCCTTATTCCTTGTCTGTATCCCCAACCCCAGCCACTAATAATCACTATTCAACACTGCTATGAGTTGGCTTTTTAAAATTTAAGATGTGAGATTATATGGTCTTCTGTACCTAGCTTAACTTCACTTAGCATAATGTCCTCAGGATTCATTTATTCCGTCACAAATGATAGAATTTCATCCTTTTTTAATGACTGAATAATATTCTGTACTGTGTATGTTTCATATTTTCTTTATCCCTTCATCTGTTGATGGGTTCTCAGGTTGTTTCCATATCTTGGCTATTGTGAATAATGCTGCATCGAACCTGGGAGTTCAGATAGCTTTTCAACATACTGATTCCAATTCCTTTGGATAAATACCCAAAGTGGAATTGCTGAATCATATGTTAATGCTATTTTTAGTTTTTTTGAGGAACTGTTTTAGAAAATTGATGTACAAATATATAGATTTCACTAACAATTTTGACAGTTTTCTCCACATCTTCATCAATATAGTTTTCTTTCATCTTTTTGATAATAGCCATTCTAACAAGTGTGAGATGATATCTCACTGGTTTTAATTTGCATTTACCTGATGACAAGTAAGGATGAGTACTTTTTCATATCCCTATTGGCCATTTGAATGTCATCTTTGGAGAAATGTCTATTCATTTTCTTTGTCCATTTTTTAACCAAATTATTTATTTTCTTTCTGGTGAGTTGTTTGAGTTTTTCATGTATTTTGAATATTAGGCCCTTACCAGATTATGATTTGCAAATGTTTTTTCCAGTGTGGGCTGTTTCTTCATGTTTTTGCTTCCTTTGCTGTGCAGAAGCTTTTTAGTTTGATGCAAACCCATCTGTCTGTCTGCTTTGGCTTCCTGTGCTGTGGGAATCACATCCAAGAAACCATTGCCAAGACCAAAACCAGAGATTTCCCCTGTATTTTCTTCTAGTAGTTTTAGTTTCAGGTCTATATTGAAGTCTTTAATAAATTTTTTTGCACATGGTGTGAATCAAGGGTCCAATTTCATTTTTCTGTGTGTGGAAAGCTAGTTTCCCTAGTCCATTTTTTTTTCAAAAAGATTATTGTTTTGCCATTGTGTATTCTGGGTACCTTTGTCAAAAATCCACGTACCAAAAATGTGTGGGTTTATTTCTGGGCCATCCTATTTGATGTGTCTTTTTATGCTAGTACCCTGCAACTTTGTTATGTAGTTTGAAATCAGATAGTGTGATGTCTTCGGCTTTGTTCTCAAGATTGCTTTAGTTATATATATATAGATCTTTTGTTGTTCCATATGAATTCAAGGGTTTTTTTTTTTCTATTTCTGTGAAAAATGTCATTGGGATTTTAATAGGGATTTCATTGACTAAGTAGATTGCTTTGGATAGTGTAGATATTTTAACAATATTAATTCTTCTAATCATGAATCCAGGATATCTTTCCATTTATTTGTGTTATCTTCAGTCTTTAATCAGAGTACAGAGTGGCAGAGTATTCTAGCACATTCCTTTCACAGAGAAACTGGGAGCTTTTAAGTTTTAGTCCCTTTCTTTGCTTTGATCCTGAGGGATTAAGCTGTGGAATTTTGTGCATGCCCATAAAAACTTATACTTCATTCTGTGATCCAGGGATATATATATATATATATATATATATATATATATATACATACCTGGAAGGTGTATAATCCCTGGAAGTGTGCACACACCCATATAATGTCTCCACTTTTTTCTGTGGTCTGGAGAGATATATATACTTAATCCCAGCTGCTCTTAGAGCTGGGTGAATTAAGAGCCACACCATGGGGAGCCTTAGAGTTAAAGTGCTATAAGTGTAGTCTAAATCCTGTCCCATCAGGGAGAAGCTAGGGTTGGGGAATCCTTCCTAACTATAGCATGCAGTTCACCAGGTGGCATTTGTGCCCAACTGTGCTTCAGTTTTTCCTATTCATTTGATGTGGATATTTTTTCAGACTTATTTATAAGAATCTCTCAACTCATTTCTGACTTTCTGTTACAGGGAATTAATGTGTGTATAGATGTTTATTTAGTGCCTTCATAGGTGGAGGGAGAGTTAAGAGCTTCCTATTCTGCTGTGTTGCTGATGTCACTCTCTACTTATTAGGAAGATTACATTGACTCAATGGTTGGGATTAACATACTACAAATAACGTTGCATAATATTGTTGTATTGGATCTTTGTCCAGAGGCCATTTGGAACCTCCAAAGGGTTTAGAAGAGCTTTCCAGCCAGAAACTCTTTGGTCCTATCAAGAATGAAGTAATTTGTTCAGGAAAAACAGATTTTTTATGGAAGAACTGTGAGTTTCTGGTAAATCGAATGTGCCATCTGGAAAGCCTCATTCAGTCCTTGAAGATGAATATCTTTCGCATGCAAACTGAAAAGGATTTGAATCCACAGAAAACAGGTATATGGAAGAGAATCATCAGAAATTTGATCCTGTTGGGTACTTGATGTGTTTATGATTCTTTTCCTTGGCTGACCTTCTTTCTACTGTTGATGCCCCTCTTGTGCTGCCTGGTAGCTTTTCTCAAGGATCGATTGAACACAATTCAGGAGGAACATTCTAAGGACCTGAAGCTGTTGCATCTTGAAGTGATGAACTTGCGCCAACAACTGAAAGATGTAAGAGAGGAAGAGGACAAGGCACAAGATGAAGTGCAGAGTTTGACTGCCCCTGTGGAAGTTGCCTCAGAGACAAAGGTTTGAGGCCAGAGTTCTGAAGTATAAACTTACTCTTGTATATTAGCTGGAGGAAATAGCAGACCCATAAAACTGATTTTAAAAGTAGTAGCTGTTTCTAGTCATGGCGGTGCATTCCTGTAATCTCAGCAACTCTGGAGGCAGAGGCAGGAGGATCACAAGTTTGAAGTCAGCCTCAGAAACAGTGAGAAACTGTCTCACAATGAAAAATAAAAATGGCTGGAGATGTAGCCCAATGATAAAGTGCCCCTGGCTTCAATCCCCAATTCCAAACAAATAGTTTGTGTTGATGTGAGGATTCTTAGCATTTGACATTTACGTGCATTGATAACTAAAATCACTGTGTGCTGTCAGTGGTTTTTTTGTTTGTTTGTTTGTTTGTTTTTTAAAAAAACATGGTATCATTGTTTTAAATAGCTTTATTTTGTTTATTTATTTTTATGTGGTGCTGGGGATTGAACCCAGTGCGTCACATGTACTAGGCAAGCACTCAACCACTGAGCCAAAATAAGCGCTCCACCCTAGCCTGATTTTTTTTTTTTTTAAATAGAGTCCTTACCCTGTACAATAGACAGCATCCAGAGGTATGAGGTAGTGTGTGCTCTTCAAGAGCTTGTATGCTAGTTGGGAGAACAAGGCATATAATGATAAATAGTGAAAAATAAATGTAGGAAATGCTAGAAGACAGTCTAAGACAATAAATGAATATTGCAGAGTAAGGCCTTTGTATTCAGTGTATTTGAGAAGTGAGAAATCCCTTATCTAACGAGATTAGGTAGGCTTCAGGAAAGAGCTAGGACTGAAGCTGAACCTTGCGAAGGCAAAGTGGAGGGATAAGAACATTTCCAAGAACACACACAGAGATAGCAAAGAGTAGGGTCTGCTGGGAAAAGAAACTCAGAGTATTGTTTTCTTTCCAGGGACCAAGCAGTATAATAGATATTCAAGATACTATTTTGCAAGGCCTTATGAAGTAGGATATTACTATTCCTATTTTTAACAATAAGACTATTGGGACGCAGGGAGAAGTCACTTGTCCAAGATTACCACATGCTCATCTTCTTCCTGAAGCCCATGTTTCAACCTACATCTTTCTTCCACGTGCAGTTAGGGTGAAATATATAAACTAGCCTGACAGGGATGAGAATTTGTGGGAAATAAGTTGGGCATTAGCTAGGGAACACATTGTAGAGAATATCAAGAATAATGTCATCAACATATAGAATAATCAATAGTTGGGCTGAGCCTGTGGGAAGGGTTTAAGAAATCACAAAGAAAAATAGGAAAAGCTAATTTGGGGGTATTATACATTATTGATTATGGAGAAAGGAGATCAGAGGCAGGAAAACCAATTAGGAATCTATTGCATTATTTGGCTTGAGAAAAATTAAGTCTGACTGGGGGTTGTGACATTTTGAAAGGAAAGAGGTAAGAGATACATTGTGAAGAAAGATATTGTAAAATATGGTATTAGGTAGAGATATAAGGTAGGAAAGAAGACAAAAATGAGTCTGAGATTTTACATCTAGGATTGTGGTGCCACTATCATTAATAATAAAGAAGAGAATAAGTAATGGAAGCTATGGTTTTCATCCTCAACTCCTAAGCATGAACAATATTTAAAGCTAGACGAAATCATTCTTAGAAAATTTCCCCTATAAGGAAAATATCTATTATTTACCAGCTTGTCCTCTGTTGAATTTTACATGAAAGGTGGGTGTGATTAATCACTATTTATGATCTAAAAGGTGAAATGATAGACACTGTGAATCAAAGTAATAAAATCTTATGTAATAATTACTTCAGACTTATAAGGAATATTTATAAGCATATTAAAGATAGTTTTTATTTTTAATATGTTGGGAACATGCCTTGATTTGAACTGATAATCCATAGAGAAAATCATTCCTGTCATTTTAGATTATTTAAAACCTCTTTTCCTATTTTTTAGGATACTGCAGCTATTATTGAAGAGGAACTGAAGACCACAAAACGTAAAATGAACCTTAAAATTCAGGAGGTAAGACAAAAAGATGCCGAAGGGTGGCAGAGGCATTGGAATTGCAAAGGGGAAATCAAGAAAGTTTAGAGAATGAAAAGAATCCTTTGAAGAAGAAAATATGTGACTATGTAATAGGAATACTAAAAATACACCCCATGTAATTTAGGTGAAAGTGTCTGCCTTTACTTGGCAATACAGACTTCCTTTTGTCTCAATACTGCCATAAAACTGGACATGATAAATAAATGCCCTCTGACCTAAGAAGGAAATAGTTACCACATATGGTTGCTCATTTTCATGTTATTGCCCATATACTACAACAATTAAGTGGACACTTTCATAGAAAGGCCTTTTAATCCAAAATTGTGTTTAACATAAAAAGTTTTTTAATAAGACAGGTCATTTAATTTTATCTAGAAACCTGAATTTCAGCTTAAGTTCTGGGAATTACCACATGAGTGACTGCTAAAAACTGTAGGGCTAAAAATTTGCAGCTAAAAACAGGAGAGTGAAGAATTACTAATCAGTATATCATATAGTGGCCTTACAATCCCAGTAATCCCTGACAGAATAGTAATAGGTATTAGTCCAAATTAAAAAGGTCAAATTATATTTAAAAGATTCTTTTATTTAAACCAGAGAAGTAAACACACTTTTTAGGAAATTTCTCATGCAAAACTTTTTTAAAAATTATAGATGATAGTTCTTCAGTTGGTAAATATTGCTATCGTTAAAACTGTCTTCCATAGAGAACTTTATTTACCAGTAATTAGTAATAAAAGCATGATTGTTCATAGTTAAAAATATTTTTTATTTTTTTAGATATTTTAATAGTTTAGAGCAGTTTTTAGTTTATAGAAAAATTGTGCAGAGCCAGCTGAGGCAGGTGGAATAGCAACAAGGCCAGCATGGGCAACTTAGTGAGACCATATCTCAGCTCCTGGTAGAGAGCACCCCTGGGTTCAATCCCCATTACTGCAAAAAAAGAAAGAAAGAAAGAAAATTGTGCAGAAAACAGAGTTCCCATTTACTCCTCTCCACTCCCAATTTCTTATATTAATATTATCTATTTATTTTTATTCTAATTAGTTATACATGACAGAAGAATGGTCTTCGATTCATTGTACACAAATGGAGCACAATTTTTCACTTCTCTGGTTGTATTAATATTATTGCATTAGAATGGTATGTTTTTGACATTTGATAAACCAGTATTGATTCACTATTTAAAGTCCATAGTTTATATTAGACTTCACTTATGGTTCTATACAGTTCTCTTTTTTAATGTTTTTATTAGTGCACTATAGTTATTTATAATATTGAGATTCATTTTGACATAATCATACATGTGTGGACTAATTTGCTCCAATTAATTTCCCAGTACTTCTCCTTTCCCTAACTTTTTCCCTTCCCCATTTCCCCTGGCCTCCTTTTTCTACTCTACTGGTTTTCCTTCCATTTACTTATAGTTTTTTTTTAAGTAGTTCTTTATAAATATACATGAAGTGAAATTCACTTTGGTATATTCATATATGTACACAGCATTATTTATTCAATTTCATTCCACCATTTCTCCCTTCCCCATCCCTCATCCCTTTCCCTCAATCCCTTTCCTCTGCTCCACTGATCTCCCTTCTGTTTTCATGGGATTCCCCATCTCCCCCCACCCCTATTTTGCTCTGTTTTTGCATATGAGAGAAAATATTCAATCCTTTATTTCTGAGTCTGGCTTATTTCATTCATCATGGTTGTTTCCACTTCTGTCCATTTACCGGCAAATACTATAATTTTATTCTTTATGGCTGAATAAAACTCCATTTTGTATATATACTACATTTTCTTTATCCATTCATATGTTGACAGGTCTAGGCTGGTTTCATAAATTGGCTATTGTGAGTTGTGCTGCTATTACTATAATATGCTGTAGTGGCTGTATTACTACAGCATGATTTTAGTTCTTTTGGATAAATACCAAAAAGTGGTATAGATGGGTCATATGTTAGTTCTATTCCTATTCTTTTGAAGAATCTCCATACTGCTTTCCAGAGTGGGTACACAATAAAGAGTCCCACCAACAATGTATGAATGTGCTACATAATGCCATCTATCTACCTTACAGGGTCAGAAACAATAGTTTCACTGCTCTAAAGAGGCACTGTGGTCTGCATACTCAAAGCTTCTGCCTGTCCCTCTAGTCCCTGGCAAACATTGTTTTTAGAGAGTATTTATAGTTTTGTTATAGTTGGAGTAATACAGTATGTACCCTTTTTGGACTGCCTTTCTTCCACTTAGCATATGCATTCAAAGTTCCTTCATGTCTTTTCATTGCTTGATAGTTCATATCTTTTTATTCCTGAAAAATACTGCATTGTATGTACCACAGTTTGTTCATGTACTTGTCTATTAAAAGATGTCTTAGTTGATAGCAATCATTGGAAATTATGAATAAAGCTACTATAAATATGTGTGTGTACGTTTTTGTGTGGGCATATGATTTCAACTCATATGAGTAAATAACCTAGGAGTATAATTGCTGGATTGTATAGTAAGCCTATGTTTAGCTTTCTAAGAAACTGCCATCCCCCCACACAAAATAATTGATACCCACCAGCCAGGACTGTTTGCCATTTAATAGGTGTGTATTGGTATTGTGTCTTAATTTGCAATTCCCTAATGATATTTAACACTGAGGACCTTTTCATAGGCTTATTTGCCTGTATATCCTCTTTGGTATCTGATCTTTTTTTCATTTTGTAACTAAGTTTTTTTAATATGGAGTTTTTAGAGTTCTTTATATATTTTGAATATTCTTTGGTTTGGATATAATTTGAGTGTATTTTTGAAGGTGCATGTGTTGGAACTTGATCTCCAGTATCATGATATAAGGAGATAGTCAGGACTTTAAGAGGTGGGATCTATGGAAGGTGTTTAGGTCACTGGGGACACCACGCTTGGAAGAGATTAATGCAGATCTCACAGTTCCTCAGAGAGTCAGATTGTTATACAAAAGAGTGAGCCTGACCCCAGATCTCTCTGGCTTTCTCTCTTGCTGTGTGATCTTTCTAAAAGCATTTCTTCTATTGTGATGCCATCTGCCCCACACAGATGTTGAACATATGGGGCCATCCAATCTTGGACTTTCAGTCTCCAAAACTATGAACTAGATAAATCTCATTCCTTTATACATTATTTAACCTCAGGGGTTTTGTTATAGCAACAGATAATAGGTACAGGTTCTTCATGAAATATTTGTTATGCAAGTATTATCTGCCAATCTGCAACTTGTCTTTTTAAAAATTTTTAAAATTCTTTTTAATTATATGACAGTAGAATATATTTTGACATACATACATGGAGTATAGCTTCCAATTTTTTGTGGTTATACATGATGTGGAGTTACACTGGTCATGTATTTATATATGAACATAGGAAAGTTATGTCTGATTCATTCTCTTGTCTTTCCCATTCCCATACCCCTCCCTTCCCCTGACTCTGTCCTGTCCTGTTGCGAGCTATCCATGGGCTCTGTGTGTGAGCTATGTGCATTTGAGTGGTATGAGGGGATTGGCCTGATGTTGCTGCCTGATTGGGCTGTGCGTCGCATGTGTGCCTTTTATCTCCTTTACCTGTGATCCCACACAGCACCTGAGGTGGGTGTGGCTTTCCAAGATGTCAGTCAACCTTCTGACCACAAGACATTGCTAAGCAAGACGCCACCCTTTGAAACCCAATCTCTTGCCTTATTTGGGTGGAATATTCAATGAATAGCTTTTCCCCAATAAATGGCGGGAGGGGTTCAGGTGTGCTCACTCTTTTGCTTGCCTCTCTTGCTCTCCTTGCCCTCTTTCCAGTGTTGGAGCTGATCTTTGAGGTTGCAGAGCCTTCCTGACCACCACAATTGAGAAAAAGATATTTTCGTGTTTGTGTGTTTTTTTCGTTCCCAGCCCAATTCACCCGGAGTGGCCTTACTTCTGCCGCCCGCGCAGGATGTGGGTGACATTGTCTAGTCTGGTGAACCTCCCATTCCTGTGCCCCTACCTATTGTGAGTCAGCATCCACATATCAGAGAGAATATTCAGCCTTTGATTTTTTGGGGATTCGCTTATTTTACTTAGCATGATGGTCTCCAGTTTATCCATTTACCAACAAATGACAGAATTTCATTCTTCTTTATGGCTGAGTAATATTCCATTGTGGATATGTACCACATTTTCTTTATCGGTTCATCTGTTAAAGTGCACCTAGGTTGATTCCATAGCTTAGCTATAGTGAATTGAGCTGTTATAAACACTGATGTGGCTGTGTCACTATAGTATGTTGATTTTACATCTTTTGGGTATATGCTGAGGAGTGGGATAACTGAGTCAAATGGTGGTTCCATTCCAAGTTTCCAGAGGACTCTCCATTCTGCTTTCCCTAGTGGTTGCAACGATTTTCAGTCCCACCACCAATATAGTGTATACCTTTTCCCTCACATTCTTGCCAACATTTATGGTTACTTGTCTTTTTGATAATTGCCATTCTGACTGAAGTAAGATGGAATCTCAGTGTAGTTTTAATTTGCATTTCTCTATTGCTAGAGATGTTGAACATTTTTTCATATATTTGTTGACTTCTTGTATTTTTTTTTAATTTTTTATTGTTGGTTGTTAAAAACATTACATAGTTCTTGATATATCATATTTCACACTTTGATTCAAGTGGGTTATGAACTCCAATTTTTACCCCATATACAGATTGCAGAATCATATTAGCTACACATCCATTGATTTACATATTGCCATACTAGTGTCTGTTATATTCTGCTGCCTTTCCTATCCTCTACTATGCCCCCTCCCCTCCCCTCCCCTCTTCTCTCTCTACCTCCTCTACTGTCATTCATTTCTCCCCCTTGTATTATTTTTCCCTTTCCCCTCACTTCCTCTTGTGTGTACTTTTGTATAACCCTGAGGGTCTCCTTCCATTTCCATGCAATTTCCCTTCTCTCTCCCTTTCCCTCCCACCTCTCATCCCTGTTT